CAGGAAAAGTCAAGATCCTTCGAGAATCTCAGGACGTGTTACCAGCGTCACTTGACTTCCGCTGTCGTTATATTATTAATATTATTTGTTACTTTTATTCGGTAATTTTATACTTTATCATAAGCATCACGATGTTTTCATAAAACTGATTAATTATTATATCACATTATTTCAATGTGAAATTCTGAAATGTGTTACATAAACGTTTTGTAATTATATTGCACGTGTTGTAAACCTGCATAATTCAAAAATTACTCTTTCTGTATGAAATTCTTTTTATCCTTTATTTGAAAATTTTATAGCGTCTCAAGTACGTACTACTACTACAGAAATAAGTCAAGCTTATGAATCATGTAATATTATCAAGTACATGTTTAAGGAACAAAAACATTATATTTTCCCCATTCATTAGTTTGATTATAACACGGAGACGTACATTTCATATCTAATAAAATGAATATCATATTGACAAATGACTGTTTAGTTTTAGATTATCTAAGAGTAAGGTACAACTGAGACGTAATCGTAGCATGGTGACGAACAAATTAACAATTTTTTGTATATATAACTGCGATCTATATATTGCGTCTAACTTGGTTACCTGAAGTTGCAGATGTTTTTTATAACGACAGATCTGGTGATCTATCATCAATGTCGTGGCAGTTGACTGCACGGCAGGGTTGTCAATCTACTTTTTTATATCGAGAAAAGTCAATAATTATCAGTATACTTTGCACATGTCGATTCTCTAACCTCACTCCAAAATGGCATCACATTCCTCTAACCAGAATGTGTAACGACACGTACAGAAGGTCTGTTGCTAAGACATTATACACATATACATAAATAACATCATTTCCATATCTGCTTACGGCAAAAATTATTTATTAATTGTGGTAACTGTAGATATTGAGTTTTTCCAAACAAAATCACTATATATATATATATATGGAAAAATAACTTTTTATTAAACTACCTTTGGTCAGAACTAAACATTAATCCAATAAATAATCTAGATAATTTAATATATCTGTCTAATTTGAAATATGCATATATCACAAAACAAAAAACTTGTATAATGATTAGAATGCATTAAATTGGGTACTCTCGCCCTTATCAATATTTTCGGCCATAATCCTAATAACGTCTCATGACGTTTCTTCAGCTTGAAGATAAGGCCCGAAGACGGGTCTTGTTGGCGAGATGGGAAGATTGTGGTAATTGGAGTTCTTAAAAAGTGCCTTACTAGTAATTGATAGTGGTTCAATACTTTAGTTGAGTTAGCTGAGCACTTGTTTGACGTTAAGAAATCTCAGGTCTGATCCTGCAAAATACACAAAAGAAAGTTATTAAGAGCTCTTCTTATTTCTAAAATTATGTAAATAATTTCGAAAATCGTTTTATTATTCAAATAGGAGTTAAAATATCGTCAGTGTAAGAATGTAGAATAAGAACTGTGGTATTGTTACATGCTTCTCATCTCGCCTTCCTTGTATCATAAGCAGTTGTAAAGCTAAACGTATTACTGTGAAGTAATAAAACTTACATAAAAACAAAATCTACAAAAGTAAAGACTAAAAAGGTATGGGTATTTGCAATCTGAATAACACTTTATGCGACACATGGGCTTAATAGCCGAGTCAGAGACCCCCTAAGATTCACGAATAGTCATCTATAACACTGGACAACAAAAAATTGCTACCAGAGAAAACTTAAGTGGTTCGAGGTAATTTGGTGGTGCTGATTTTAAAAATGTAGTCAGAATTTGTCCATCGCCTCTAGAGTTTGAGTTATTGAACTCAATAGTTTATCACCACTATGTTATGTGAAATACCATGCAATCAACTTAGCACAATAGATTTATGCTGTGAAATTCAGTTTACTTGCACAGTATAATGGGTAAAAGGCATACATTTTTGATAACTTCAAACACTGACTGTATTGCATTGGTGTAAAATTCTAAATATATTTTTCATATATGCAATTTGTTCTCAATATAATTGTAGCAACTTGCACCACTTTTATTTCATTCCCATGCTCACCTGCTCTGCCTGGGAATTACGAAACTCTCACGTGCTCAGTTTGCTAGAACATTCGTGAAGTCTCTCGACTGAGCATAAAAGGGCAGAGTCAGACAATTTTCTCTCAGTTACCTCTCACTCAGTAAGTTGGTCACTTCGTCTTGCTCTGCACACAGTCAAATCAAAGTCCAGTCTTTTTCTTCGCATCATACCCGCAATATAATCAAATTCTGCACAACTTTGTTCTTTAAAACGTTTTAAACTCTAGTTATATAAACATAAATTATTTTATGTTTTTAGAAGATCATTTGAATTGTTTGATGCCTCCAGCTTAAGTAAAGTCTGAAAGTGCAAACAGTTTCTGTTACATTTGTGGAAAATACATAACAGTTTCATGAAGAACAAACATCACACACAAAGTAAAGGTAGTTTACTACCACTATTTGTTGGGCTGTAAAATTGGGGACCAAGAAAAAACATTGGTCTTCACATGTGTGTTGTAAAGTTTGCACATTTGACTTGACCCAGTGTCTGAATAAGAAGAGAGCAAGTATGCCATTTGAAGTTCTCATGATATGATGTGAGCCCAAAGATCGTCTGACTGTATTTTTGCATGGCTAATGCTTTTGGATGTTCAGGAAAACTAAACAATGAAACCAGTACCTCATGGGATTGTTATTTCCGTACCACATCCACCATCGAATTGGGAACAGAAGAGTTATTCCTAAAAGAAGACACTGAATCATCTTCATCCTCTTCATCCTCTTCATCTAGTAATTCTATTCTTGTGACACCTCGACATAAACTTCCTCGTCTGATCACACAAGAAGAGCCATATGATCTAATTCGTGACTTGCCTATCAAAACAGCATGGGGAACTTCTTGGCTGTCGTTTACAGCAATGGAACTTATTAGCTCTAGGAACATAAGTTTCAATTTACCGAAGTCACCATGAAAGTCTTACGTCTCACTACAGCATGTAAGATACCTTGTGTTTCTGTAGAATGCACTAATGGAAAAATTAGGTACTGAACATCATTCTTAAGAAATGAGACTTTTTATTGTCTCATCTAAAGTTAGTATGAAAGCTGTACTTTTGCACAATGAAAATACTAAGCCATCGATTCCTGTTATTCATGCTGTGAACATGAAAGAAACTTATCAAATCATGCAGATTATACTTGGGGCCAACAAATATGATCACCATAGGTTAATCATATGTGGTGATCTAAAAGTTATTGCACTCCTGCTAGGCCTGCAGGGTTGGTATACCAAATATTGTTGCTTTGCGGGTCTCTGGGACAGTCGAGATGATAAAAAATCATTTCAAAAAGAAGGAATGGCCAATGAGAGAGAATTACATACCAGGGAAACAGAATATCGAGTATAAACCTTTAGTGAATCCTCAAAATGTGTTTCTGCTCCCTACTTCATATTAAAATGGGCCTCATGAAGAATTTTCTAAAAAGAATTAACAAAGATGATAATGATTTCAGATATCTGTCTGACAAGTTTCTAAAAATTAGTGAAGCAAAAAGTAAAGGAGATAACTTTGTTGGTCCATAGATTCGGAAAGTGCTGGTAGATGGTGATTTTGAAACTGTACTCAATCAGAAAGAACTTTCTGCCTGGAAATCATTCAAACTGGTTGTCAAAACTTTTTTAGGAAATCAGAGAGATGAATACTATGCTGTAATGACTGATGATATGCTCGAGAACTTCAGAAAAATTGGGTTTAGGATGTCACTAAAGATACACTTCTTACACTTCCATTTAGATCTTTTTCCAAATGATCTAGGTGCAATGAGCGATGGGCATGGTGAGTGCTTCCACCAAGATATTTCTACAATGGAATAGCTATCAAGGACAATGGAATCCTGCAATGATGGGAGATTACTGTTGGTTCTTATAGCGTGAAATTTTGTAGCAAAAAATAAAAAATAATACCATAATGAAAGTTTTGAACATAACCTGAATGTATTTTTAGTATCAATATACTACTAAAACTATGAGATTGTTTGTGTGTCTGCTTGTCTGTAATTAAATACAGCAAAAACGGCGCACTATAGCACCTTATTTGTAATGAAATGAGAATAGAAACAGAATAAAACAAGTTTCGTTAAAATCGGTCCACGGGTTACCGAGTTAGCCCCGTTTTTTGGTTTACTTTTAAGAAAATTTCTAGATGAATTTAGATACACTACACGGCACCACGTATCGGTTTTTCTATCTTTCTATTCGTTTTCCACCTGATGAATCACTTTAAAATATCTTCTATACAACAATATATGCACAACAGTAATTAAATGATGGGATGAAAATGTGTTATAACAGTGGTAGAAAGAACAACAATAAAATGGGCCTACAATATTCTTGACTATTTGCAAATAGTAACTATGGAGACGAGGTAATAAAACAAAAATCAAATCGAGAACAACAACAAACTTTTATAAACGAAAACCTCTCGCCGAGCATTGGCTATTATATTATTTCCCTGTCAATGTTCCCATCTTCATTAAAAGGCGTAAGATAACAAAAACAATATCTTGGAGAATCTATCTATATACTACTAAAACTCTGAGATTGTTTGTTTGTTTGATTATTTTCTCAGTCAAAAAATCATTCACACTACTGTTCGCGCTCTTTACAAAACTTCATCGGGCCACGGGTTACCGAGTTAGCGCCGTTTTTCGGGTCACTTTTATGAAAATTTCTAGCATGATTGTTTTATATCACACTACCGTTCGCGCTCTTTACGAAATGTCTTCGTTCAAATCTATTTCTCTGTCAATGTTCCCATCTTCATTAAAAGGCGTAGGATGACAAAAACAAGATCTTGAAGAATTTCTCAATAATGTGCTTTGGATATGGTATGATAAAGTGTTACTGTTTCTTATTTATAGAAGGTTTAAGAGGAAATACAACAACATAATGAACTAATTCATCACAATACCTGAAAACTCTGACTTCACTTTTTTGAAAAATGAAATGGACTTTTACTCACGATCAACAATCAACTATCTTTTCTTGAATTATGAATAACATGAATGGATTGATATGTTTAATTACATTATCTCAAAATAAACCTTCATTTCGGTGC